GCAGCTTTTAGGCTGATTTCATCTGTCATGTACCACCTTTCTCCACTGCCAGCAGTTGGTCTGGGTTTAGCTGCTGCTTTTGAGTGCACCAAGCTTAAATAGCCTCTGGAATCCTGTGTACTGCTCCATTACTCCTATGCTTCTCTATAAATCCTCACTCGCTAACTCCTCTGTTCTGTTTTAGGACACTACTGTCCTCATGTTGGTACTGTCCAGCCTCTGCCTTGCCCACCTGGTTCATGTACCACTGCCCTGGGGCAGAGCGAGTGCCAGAGGTGCAGCGGAAGCTCTTGCTGCTCGGATGCGTTGGCTCCAATCCACCAGGAACATGATCGCTCTGGGTCTTTTTTTTACTGCCCTTCAGGTGAGCTCTGTGCTTTCAGGTCAACGTATCTCTTGGTAGAGTGAGTGCTCATCCACAAGTCAGGCAGAGCAGCTCCTACAGCCCTCAGCAGACTGGAGTTGTGAAAGGTCTGCCTGGTAGCACCTCACTCTGTGTCCTTAGGTTGTAGGTTAAATGTCACCCTGAAGCTGAGCTCTTGATCTTCTCACTGGTGTTTTGAGTGGGAGGGTCAGGACGCTTCCAGAAGATGCTCTAAGCTGAGCAAAAGCTGTATGAGCACCTTGGCTTTGCCTTGAGCCTGTGCCAGTAAGCTGCCTTTAATTAGACAGTGTATTAGCTCGGACTGAGAATCATGCTGACACAATCAGTTATCTGTTTTTTAAATTGGACTTAGTTTGTGTCCCACTAGATCAAAGCTCGTTCATGTCTGCCCTCAGGATGCAACGTTAATGTACCCTGACTTGACTTAGCAAGCACACGCTTGTATCCTCCCAACTGCAGCATGCAAAAGACCATTACCTCCCTGCTCAGTCCGAGTTGTCCGAAATGTTGTCCGTGGGCCACGTGCACTGTTTTTCCCTTCAGGTCACTTTTGTGCAGAAGCCCCTACAAACCCTCCGTGCCCAGCAGGGAGCTTCAAGCCCAGAGAGGGCCTTCGCACACGAAGCAGCAGCTCGTCATGCTTCCCAGGTCTGTGTGGCAATGTTCGTTTTGCGCAAGGGGGGAATAATTCTTCCTGTAAATCACACTGCTAGTTGGGTGCTTGTGCAGGGGCTTACAGTTATAGTGCTTATTTGCTGTCCCGTAGCTAAGGCAATAAGGGAGCTCGAGGGAAGCACCTGTGGAATGTCCTGTGAATTACCAGATGTGTTGTGAAGCATTCGGTAATTATTAGGATGTTCATGATAACAGGTACTTGGGTTCTCATTTCTCTGAAGGACATTTATAATGAGGTAGAAAAGGAGACTTCAACTGAATCTCCATCTGTAATTCTCAGAAATTGACATCTTTTGCTGAACTGCATCAGAGCAAAGGAAAGGTCAGCAGGGCTTTGGACGCAGGACCTTCTGCATGCAACTGTTCCCTTTGTCCTGCACATATTTACCAAAGTGTGCAGATCCATAACATGAAAATTTTGTCAACAGGCCGTTTTTGAAAGTTCCAATAGCTCCTTGAGATGGCAACCCGCTGCAGGAATGATTCAGCTCTTCTGCCGCTGTGCTCTAAATCAGAGCTCGCTAGTGCAGTAGTTTTGAGAAATCTAAATCCTGCGGTACTGAGGGTTTTGAACCTTGTATTTACCTGTGCCCTGTAGAGTAAATTGTAAGGGGGAAGCTGGTTTTTCTGAGAGGTGGGAAGGAGTAAATGGGGATAAAGCAGAGGGAGAGGGGACCCTTAAACTGGCTTTGCAGCCTAACAGACCATAATCTGCTTCTTCAGTCTACGGAGGGATAAGCGTCGATTTTAAGAAATCCAGATGATTCCTCCTGATTCCAGCCTGCAGAGGCAGGCACACACTGGGGTGTGCTTGCGTCTGGCCGATGAGCGCTTTGGAAGCAGCTGGGGTTCAGCCTGGAAGTACTCAGGGGAGCCGTGATCTAATTAGCCAGTGTTTTCCCTTCCCATCCCAAATTGCTCTGTTTGCTTTGTGCTGTTAAAAATCCTGACTCAGGAGGACAGCAGCTATTCCTGTGCTAAATTTGTTTCCTTTTCACTAAGTAAAGCATTTGGGGACGCTTTGAAATGAAATGCACTTTCTGAATGTGGTAACAGCGGTAAGGGATTATTGTTTTATTATGTGTTGATCATGCCAGTCCTCTTTTAAAATGGAATTCAAGCATCTTTGCTTTAGCACACAGGGTTTTAGAGGTGATCATGGCTGAAATGTTTGCCATTCAAGCAGTATGCATGTGTTTATACTGGATATATCTCCAGTCTGTAAAACCCATTCTTCTTTCTCTCTATTCAGAATACAAATATGGAAACAGCTCAGCTTTGTAGAAACAACAGGTCCTCTTAAAACCAAGGCCCAGGCATTCCGGGTATAAAATACACTGGGCTAACCTGTGTCAGACTGTGTTTTCAGGGTGAAGTGTTTATTTGTTTCTAATGTATTTTATTTCTCATATTATCAGCTCAGAACACAATCCAGATGGTTTTATTGCTTCCAGGAGCCACTCTACTGCAGTAACGTTCAGCTAGTCCAATACCACCACCTTCTGGCTGGCTTTGCGGTGCCTTTCTTTCCATTATATATGATTCTCCATCATATATTCTTGCTGTAGATGAAAGCAAAGGGATCGGATTTTGTAGGATTTTCTGGGGTGTTTTTTAGTAGTTTATGGTCCCTTTGAGACCTTAGATGTCTCTCTCTCTTTAGGCATTGGGTTGTGTTTGAAGTGCCCCGCTGGGTATTTCTGCCCTGCTGGAGCAAGTTACCCAGTTCCATGTCCACCAGGAACGTACAACCCTCTGCAAGGGCAGGATGAAGCCACTGACTGCAGAGCTTGCCTTGCGGGGACAGCTTGTACTCAGTCTGGCTTAGCCCAGCCTGACTCGGAGTGCATGCCAGGGTAAGCCACGCTTGTTTTCTGCACTTCTTTTAGGGCTGTGCATTTTGCCTCTATTGCTTTGCTTTTTGTGGGGGGGAGAGTGTCAGAGGGCACCATCTGGAGCGTCAAGATTTTATTACAGTTTCCGATATAACTTAAACTGTTTTGCTAGAGGAATTTTCTTAAACACAGCAGGCATCACAGCCTGCTATTACCATAGAACAGCTAGTAAGAAATATGAAGCCCTGACAACAATTCCGTGATTTTGAGCAACTTGGCCTGGCTTGAAAACCCATTTTTATTTTGGTGAAAAGCATGTAACAGAAGCAGTCCATTCTGTGTCACGGTACTCCCGTGTTCCAAATGTCACTTACGTTGCTGTCGGACATAGGATTCAGTGCTTCAGCTTTCTGCCAGCTGCAGGATTCATCCTAGTATTTGGGAGGGTGTGGAGTTTGATTTCCCCTTTGCATGAACGTGTTTGCCCGAGCTAGCCTGGTGTGTGTCCTTAGGTATGTGTGCCCAGTGGGATCATCGAGCCCTCATTCCCCAAGCAATGCCTGCCCGCCAGGAACAGCCGGCAATCGCTTCAACCTCTTTGATAAGTCCCAGTGTGAAATATGCCCTGCTGGATTCGTCTGTGTGAGAGGTAGGTGTCTTTCTGGTGTCTGTAGCTGGTGTGCTGTCTGTTAGGTCATGCAGCTTCTCTCAAAATTTCTCGTGGTGTTTTAGGAACTGGGGGGAGACAGAAACCTCCCGCTCCATGCCCAGTTGGTCACTACTGCCCACGGGGCACAAAGCATCCAATGCAGCACAAGTGTGGCCCCGGCACCTGGAGCAATAGGACAGGCCTGGCCTCTGAGGAGGAGTGTTTGCCATGTCCTGCAGGCTGGTTTTGTGTAGGAGGAGCTCGTGTGCCTTCGGGGAGGTGCAGCTCAGGGCATTACTGTCCCCAGGGTAAGCAACTTTTCTCACAAATGGGGAGATTTTGTTGATTCCTATTTGGGAATTTTGTGCACTCTCCTGCATGCATGTTCTGACTTGATCAGTGTATGTTAAACTGAAGTAGTTCAGCAAGGAGGTGAATAGCAAATTGTCTCTTCTGGATAGTGAGTACTTGAAACCTCTGCTGTTTGGATTGAGCATGTTAATGTCGTGATTTTCTTTACCTTAATTTGTAGAGGATCAACATGCAAAATCAGGTGCCTGGTATAAACATTTACAATATCTGCTAAATGGTGACCTTTTCTTTATTTTACCATCCTGCAGTAGAATGAACTGATGTAAATATTTATTAGCAGTGAAGAACAGGGGGCATTGCTCCCTTCTCTCTTTGACGTTGTTGTTAGAATCGGGATGGTTTTCTCATCCTTTTTTTCTTTTCCTTTTTTTTGAAAGGTACATGGAGGGGCACCCAGCACCCCTGCCCTGCAGGAACATATAGTACCAGGCTCGGAAATGTCAGGGTGGAAGATTGTACTGCCTGCCCTGCAGGGACTTTCTGCACTAGTGGGACCTCCAAGCCAATTCTGTGCCCAGTGTAAGTACAGTACATGTGCTGCAATGGTTATTCATTTGGGGCCTACAGGAGCACAAAAGATGCCATTTCTTTGTGGCATTTCAGAGCACTTCTCTTTATAAGACACACCTTGCAGCACCAGAAGTATTTACAAAAAAAGGCTTCATTTCTGGATGTTTCAGACAAGCTTTTTCTGAAACACTTGACTCTAGAAATGGTGCATTTCCTCTACCCAAAAGTCTTAACTGTGTAGCCAGAAAAAATTCTCCTGTTCCTCATCATTTTGCTGCCCTCAGTGACTCTCTCTTCTGTTGTCCTGCCACCCGCAGAGGAACCTATCGTACAGCTCCTGATGCAAAGCTGGCTGCCGAGTGCCTCCCCTGTCCTGCAGGGTATTCCTGCCCTGAGCTTGGCACTGTTACTCCTCGAGCATGTGGTGCTGGCAACTTCTCAGTAAGTAGCAATAACTTCATTATGCAGCAGTGGGGTCTGAGAGCTGGCAAAACACGTGCAAAGTGTATTCACTTACACTGTAAGCAGTAATATCCAACATCTGCCACATTCTTTGCATTCCTTCTTTAGGGCCATGGTCAATCCGTTTGTAGGGACTGTCCAGAGGGAACATTCTGCAATGAGACAGGCCTTGCTGAACCCAGGGTGTGTCCCAAAGGGCATTTTTGCTTGCCTGGAAGTTCCCTGCCTCTCCCATGCCCTGTGGTAAGAATCAAATATTTTCCATATCCATAATTCTCAGCAGGCTTCCAGTTCCTTGGCAGAGATGATTCACAGGTTCTCCGTGTTTGTGCAGGGAGCTTACACAGATGTAGCTGGGACAGGTTCCTGCAAGCCCTGCCCAGCAGGCATGTACTGCAGCGTGGCTGGGCTGACTGAGCCAGAAGGACGTTGCCAGCCAGGGTATTACTGCGTTCAGGGGTCCAGCAGCCCCTCGCCTGTGAGTGCTAAACATTTTGCATAGCACCAGACACGTAGGCACTGAAAGAGCATTCCTAAACCCTATTCACCATCTTTTCTTTGCTTCAGGTGGGGCTTCCGTTTGGAGATTTTTGCCCACCAGGACATTACTGCCCTGCTGGCACAACACAGCCAAAAGAGATGCCTTGTCCTGCTGGCACCTGGAATGAACAGAGGGGAGGCCAGGATGCCAGTTGGTGTCTGCCTTGTGCTCCTGGGTTTTTCTGTAATATGTCAGGCCAAGATGCTCCCGTAGGACTTTGTGCACAAGGTGAGACAAAGCCAGAACTGTTTCAGACACCCAAAAATGCAGCATTATCTATGCTATCTCCTGCTAAGGATTTTCCTTCTCGTTACATTTCTGTAACAAAGTTCGCTGAGAGAAACAACTCAAATATTTTCTGCTTTCAGGCTATTACTGCACAGGAGGGGCAAAGACTGCAAAGCCTGAGGATGGTGTCACCGGAGGGGTCTGTCCTCGAGGTCATTTCTGCCCTGCAGGCTCAGCAGCACCTTCTCCCTGCCCTACTGGAGAATACAGTAATGCAACAGGTCAGAAACTAGATCATTCCAGTTTCAGTCTGAAATATCTTGGAATATTTGCACAGGAACATCTGCACTCTGCGTGCAGAAAGCTAGGGAGGAGTTAAGCAGATTGCTTTGTTGCTCCACATGCCATCTAAGAGTGGGATGTGGAGGTTAGCAGGACTCCTGAGCTCTGGGAATAGAGATGAGAAGCTCACTGAGTTAAAGGCAGCTTGCTCTTTTGGCTCTTTTTGCTTTAGATGTACAGACAAGCAGAGAAGTTGCACGAATAGTATTTTTCTTTCAATCTGTTGTATTTTAATTCTTAAATTTCTTTCACAGGTCAAGACAAATGCTTTCCTTGTCCTGCTGGGTTTCACTGTCCAAAAGGGCTAAGGCGCCGCTGTCCTCCTGGTTTCTATTGCCCTCGGAAAACTGGAAACAATTTTCATCCTTGTCCACCTGGGACTTACAACCCTTCCCATGGACTCAGCCAGGCCGAGAGGTGTCAGCAGTGCCCCGCAGGTGAGGAAATAACTGAGAACTGCGATCATACAGGTGAAGCAGCAGGTGAGAGGGTGATCCCTGTGCATATCTCTCCCTTCTTATTCCACTGATGCAGGTTTTACCCCTCAGAAGAGCACACCTTGGATTGCAATGCTGGTTTGTCCCAGTTGTTCTGATGTGGAGAGATAGGCTCGCTCAGTCTCTTGCCTTCTAAGTAATGCATGTAGTGCATCAGCCCTCCTGTTTTTGCTCCCAAGAGAGTGATACCCTTTTTCTCTGTGGTCTTCCAGGAATGTTCTGTGGAGACTGGGGATTATCCTCTCCAAGTGGCCCCTGCGGGCCAGGATTCTTCTGCACAGCAGGTATTGAATGTAGCATTCACCAGGGAGAAAAAGAAGTGAAAAAAGAGGAAGCTCTGGCCCTTAGGAATTGTTGTGGTATTTTTTGATTTGTTTTGTTTCTAATCTGGGAATTACCAGAGGAATTTAACTTTACTTTGAAGTAAGTTTCTATCCTTGTGGTTTACTAAGGAAGGTCGGCAAAGGGCAGCTGACTGCAGGAACCAAAATACAAATAAGAGACCCATGTACCCGGACACACAAGCACATGTTTAAATCTCAGGTTCGGACTGTTTGGATTTCACAGCTCATGCCTCCTCAAGAGAAGTTTTCTTCAGATCTTCAATTTCTGTGCTCCTCGGAGGGCCGTTGTCATGAATGTTTCACTGAGATCAAGTCCAAATCTAGGACTTGCATCTTTGGATGCAGTCCAGTTCAAAGGAAATGCTTACAGCAAACTTCCTGTGTTGTTACCCCTCTAAGGCGAGGATAACATGCATCAAAAACAGGAAGTCTTTTTGTTCCCAGCTTTCTATTTGCCAGGGAGCACATAAGCCCAGAGTCTGCTCTGAAGCAGAGCACTCAGCTCTGGGCTGATTGTTATTCAGGTCCGTGCTTTGCAGGGTGGATAGCAGCCCTTCCAACTTCAGGACTACTCCCAGTATTCTCACATAAGCAAAGTAGCTTCTGTATGTGCTGCCTCCTTCAACAACCAACTGATTCTGGGTTTAGCACAGGGGATGGGCATTTGGGATCTCGAAATTCTAGTCCTTGCTGAAGGAAAAGTAAGTCCTTGCTTAAAAAAAGAAGAAAAAGGTAAAACATCTAGATGATTCTAGTCCCCTACAGTGCTGGCCATTAACTCTTCCTTTGTAGATTTTTGCCTTACTGTCTTAAGAACCAGCCATTCCTGCTACGGAAATTTTTCTGTAGGCATGGGGTGCAGACCGATCTCCGAATAGGAACCTGGGTCACTGAGGGTTCGTTCGGTCTGTCTTTCTCATGTAGGAGCAAGTGTCCCAAATCCTAATGGAGCCACAAACACGAGTGCTGGTGGCCCGTGCCCACCTGGACACTTTTGCCCAGCTGGCACAAGTGTGCCACAGCCATGCCCTGCAGGCACTTACTCACACAGGTGAGCTCCTTGCTTCTGCTGTGTTAGTCTCTTAACTGCCTTTTCTTACTGTTTGCTGCCTCTCTCCCACTACTGCTTGGTACCTTCCTTCCCTGGGTGCGCAGTCCTTTAGCAGGAGGGTGCAGTTCGGTAAGGCTCACAAGGCATATTTCTGCATTGATCATAAAAGCCTGAGGGTTTTCATGTGGCCAGAAATGTAGGCGTTAACGGGTCTGCCTGTGGAACACAGAGAGCTGCTTTTGTGTCTCTGCAGGCTCCATGTGTGGCAGGACTCCAGCTGTACCGTGTGCCCGCCTGGCTCTTACTGCAGCTCTCCTGGCCTCACGGCACCCTCTGGACCCTGCTCAGCTGGATACTACTGCCTGTCTGGAGCTACCTCACCCTCTCCAGCTGGTGGGTTGCATTGGATGGACATGATTTTCTTGATATTTACAGCTACTTATTGTGTTGTGCATCCTGTTGATCTGTCTTCTGGCATCCAAGAAGCCATAACCAAGAAGAGATGCTCATCAGTGTGGCCATAGCAATTCCCTTTTTTGGCTTTGTTGTTTACTTCCTGTGTTTTAGGTGCATGGGAGAAAGGAGGCCCTTGTCCTGTGAGCCATTTCTGTCCAGAAGGGACCAGCTTTCCCCTACCCTGCCTTGCAGGGACCTACAACGACCTCACCAGACAGGCTGCATGCTTCCCTTGTGCTGCAGGCTATTACTGCCCAGAAAATGCCACCAGCTACACCATGAATCCTTGCCCAGCTGGCTTTTACTGCCCCAAAGGTGAGTTAGATTCAGGGGTCACTTGAGCAGGATGTATGAGAACCAGGCCGAAATGTCCTTATTTTAAAGACAGGATTTTTTTTTCTTGCGCAAAGGAAACCTTTGAATAATGATTTGGTTCCTTGTAGAAAATGAGCCCAGTTTTTTTAGACGATAGACGTGGGTTTAAACCATAGACTGGCATGCTAAGCAGAGCCAGAGACTTTCTTGGCTTGCAGGGCAAGCTCTGCGCTATGGAGTTCAGATAAATTGGCCACGATAACGTTAAGCGATAGTGAAGGATTAATAGCCAAGAGAGTATTTACAGTTCATGAAAGGTTCATGTTCTCTGTATTCTGAAGGAACCAAGTTTGCGACTGAATTTCCCTGTCCTCGGGGCTACTATAACCCTGATCCCATGACACAGAGCTTGGATAGCTGCTTGCCCTGTCCACCTGGGCACTACTGTGGGAAGGAGAACTTGACAGCTGTGTCAGGCAAATGTGATGCAGGTGAGTCTGGGTCTGCTTTGCTTCTCTATTGCACAGCATCAGATTCATTCAGAATAACTCAGGTTCTGTGGTTGTCAGAGCTTCTCAGTCCTATTTTCTCTTCTCAGGCTGGTTCTGTGTCTCAGCTGCTTGGACCTCACAACCTTTTGATCTGGATAACTACACCAATGCTAACTGCCTCTGTCCAGCCACTGCCACTGGAGGGAAGTGCCTAGCTGGTTTCTATTGCCCCAGAGGAAGCCCAGAGCCTCTTCCCTGCCCTCCTGGGCTTTACTGCAATGCCTCAGGTTAGTACCTGCCTTTGGAGAGCAGGAAAGGTAGGAGTGATCTTTTTCAAGGAGAGTTGAAACAAAGGAATTTGAGGGACAAATACTTACTGTTCAATAGCATGCTGGAAGACCTTAATTTAAGTGTTTCCCTGCACAAGCTGGGAAGAGAGCTCAGGTGATACCTTGTGATGTTAGCCCAGGGAAAATTCGCAAGTGGTCGATTTTCCTGCTTTTCTCCCGCTGTCTTGATGCTTTAGGTGCTATTAAACCTCTCTGTTCTCCAGGTCTGTCTGTCCCCAGTGGGCAGTGCACTGCTGGGTTTTACTGCAGCGGTGGTGCAGCCCTCCCTCAACCAACTGATGGTGCAACTGGGAATATCTGTCCGGTGGGGACATACTGCCGTGAGTATTCAGTGTCAACCAGAAGCAAAAACTAGTAGTCATATAATACCTGAAATACTGTTGGGTGATTTTGGCAGTGTGACAGCCGGCTCACTAGAGTCTGGCCAGGGTGTCTGGATTCCCAGATTCTTCCTTCAGTTTTTCTCTTGGCCTGTTCAATGACAGTAGTAAGTGATTTTTTTTTTTCATCTCAGTTGTCTGCCCAAGTTGTCTGTCTTGAAAATATAATTAGTTTCATTTCTCTTTTGTTTTGCAAAATGGGTTTGCTAATGTGGGTCCTCCCCAGTACAGCACTGCATGATCTGTGAATGAAAAATAAGACCTCACTGATGCTGTTTCCATGCCACACTCTGCTTAATCTGACTCTTCAGTGCAGCAGTCTTCTAGGAAATTCATTTCTCTCTGTCTTGCTTCTATTCTTACAGCTGCAGGATCAGCAGTACCCGAGCCCTGCCCGGCTGGCACCTTTTCTAGCGTGCCAGGGCAGAGGATGCTTTCCAAGTGCCAGCCTTGCCCCTCTGGCTTTTTCTGCAAGACGCCTGGTCTCAGTGCCCCCACTGGAGAGTGCCAGGAAGGTAAGCTGTGACTAAACTGCCTGCAAGGCTGTGGGGACACCCTCAAAGTAATACACGTGTCAGGGACAAGGTGAAAATAAATACCTGGCTGTGAATCACTGCTGTGAAGTGGAAAAGCCAAAGAGGCATCCATTTACCTGTTGGGAGTTTTGGCAGGATCAGAGAGCTACTGAGGACTGTATAGGCAACCAGAAAACGGGAGTTCCATTTTTCACAATATCCAGGATGTATTCTGTGTGCCCTTCCTATAGGAGATGCCCATTCCTGCGTCTTCCTGGGGTTGAAAGCCTTAAGACTTACTGCCACCTTGGTAGTTTGTTTCCTTTGTGGGAGATCTGTGTGAAGAGACTGTGTGGAAACGGAAATGCTAAAACCTGTGTAAATCTGAAAAAAAATAAATCGCAGGTGAAAAGTCTGATTTTTCAAGTGTCGTTCTGGAAAGAATCAGAGCTAATCCGAAACAAATTTGTGTGCCTAGAGATTGTTCTTGATTCCTAATTCCAGAAGATATTTGTGTGCTTGAGGCTGTCTGTTAGGAATCTTCTTTGTTAATGAGAAGCAGCTCAGTAGCTAGAATCTCAATGACTAATTTAGCTTTCTTTCCTCTCTCTTCACTGCAGGCTATTACTGTGACAGCCAGCAAGAACCAGTCATTGATTTTACCCTTTACCCCTGCCCACAAGGTTTTTACTGCCCACCGGGGACCCACCACAGCACTCAGCACAGCTGCCCTGCAGGAACCTTTGGACCAAGGCAGAAACTGAAAACTATCGAGGAATGTCAAAGATGCCCACCAGGAAAATATTGTGAATTCTCTGGACTTGCTGCTCCAACAGGTATATTTCTGTTTTTCTGAGAATTATTTGCTACTGCTAGAGAGTCATATTATTGACTGTTAGCTAGTGTCAAGAATTGAAGTTAGGACTTCTGAGTTCTCATCTCAGGTAGGGTTAACTGACTCATTTTACTTGTCAATAACTTCTGAGGAGGAACAAAAGTTCCTTCTTCTAAACAGAAATAGTTGTATAGGTGGGAGTGAAACTGCAGAAACATTTAATCTAGTAAGGTATGTCTCTGAAAACCTTTCAGATGGGGAGTTTTCCAGTGTCACATCTGTTCGGCATCCTTTTTAGAATTAGTTCCTTGTTTCAGCCTAGTTCTTGAGTTCTCTTCCCTCCACATAATAGATGCACATGTGACTAGGCTCAGCAGAGAGAGTAAATTACCCATCACAGACTGATCTCCCTCTGGTTTGTTCAGGGTTGTTTTTTTCAGTTAGTGCTGATGATTTTGCATTGCTTATTGTCCTGTAGATAAAGACCCAAATTCAGCAAAGTGTTTTAAAATATATTTATTGTTTAGCAAAGCATTTGAGCAACTTAGGACTTCTCTGAAGGATGTGTTAAATATGTGCCTCAAGCAAAGCAGGTGCTTAAGAACTTGCCCGATACAGAGGCAGTGCTGACTCTGAGCCAACCAAGGCACTTTCCTCTCTAGGAACTGTTGTTTTGGCATCTGCCACCCACACTCCATTCCTTATGGTGAAAAGCAACTCTTCCACTGAAATATTGATGACCATTATGTTGTTGATCTGTAGACTGGCAGAGGCTCTGCATAGGATAGCAAGTGATTGTATTTCAGTCTGTGTTCTGAAGTTTGCATTTATGTGCCTATTATTTTATTATGGTTGTATATTTACTATATTTTACCTTGTTTTCTAGGAGACTGTGCCGGGGGATTCTGGTGCAAAAGTGGTGCCCAAGTGAGAAACCCCCAAGATGGAGAATCAGGACTGCCTTGTCCTCCTGGTTATTACTGTCCTGAAGGTACCGTGTTTTGTTAAGCATGATTTTATTTTAATTCATGTCAAGCATGAGATGAGATTTCCTCACTCTGCTGCAATTGATACTGCCAGGTGCCCCACTTCCCCTACAGTGCCCTCCTGGCACTTGGTCTGACAGTGAAGGTGGTAGGAATTTGCAGGAGTGCCAGCCTTGCCCTGGGGGGTATTACTGCAGCAGCTCTGGACTCACTGCCCCCTCGGGACACTGCAGCCCAGGGTGAGTAGAAGAGTGAATCAAATGCTGTATGTAGAGAGAAGTGTTTGACAACAGGCAGAACCTTTATTTATCTTGAAATAAGAATAATATGTTCCTGTGCTCACTGCTGCAGGTATTACTGCGTCACTGGGGCCCACACGCCAACACCCACTGATGGCCTCTCAGGAGCTCCATGTCCCATTGGGCACTTTTGCCCTCTTGGATCCAGGAGTCCAGTTCCATGCCCCCCTGGCTCCTACATGCCACAGGCCCGTGGAGAGGAGTGCCTTGCTTGCCCCGAGGGTGAATTCTGTGTCCCTGGTGAGGAGCCTCAGCCGTGTCCTCAGGGTGAGTTGAGGATCAGAAACAATTTAGTGCCTGGCTCATTTTAGATTTTCCAAAGAATTTCCTGAAACCTCAGCATGCGAGAGACCATCATGGCCTGTAAGTTCAGCAGCAGCTCATTCCTCTGTGAACTCCTTCAGAGTCATACTCAGTGTGGGCAGCTCAGGCCAGTGACTGTCTATAAAGCTTCGTGCATCCAGTCACCCAGATACTGGTTGGTAATTCTTTGTCTCTGAAGCTTTTATCCCATCATTAATGTTTAAAACATGAATTTGTTCTTTCAGGTTTCTACTGTCCTAGAGGAACAGGTTTAGACTGGCAGCCCTGCCCACCAGGTACTTACAGCCCCGAGCAAGGACAGGGAAGCAGAACCAGCTGCAGAGCCTGTGATGGAGGGAAGTTCTGCCAGTATTCCAATGCAACCGCTGTGAGCGGAGAGTGCTGGGAAGGGTACTACTGTGCTCAAGGATCGTACGAGCCTAACCCAGACGCCGTGATACAAGGTGCCACTTCTCTTTTGCTAATGCACTGGTGCCTGGTGATAGCACCTGCATCTGTAAGGAGCTGTTTCTGCGAACAGTCTGTAGAGAAATCCCTCATGGCATGAATAAATCATAGCTATTAACAACCCAGTGCAAGCAATGAATGCTTTCACTTTTTCATACTGCTTTTGATTAACTGTGATCCTCTCTTTTAGGCCAAGCTGGTCCCTGTCCTGCAGGCCATTACTGCCCCCGAGGCACTTCTGTCCCCACACCCTGTCCTGTGGGAACTTTCAGCACAAGGAGCAAGTTGAGCTCAGAGGTGAGAGGAACTTGTGCAGTTTTGTGCAACATCTTTCTTGCCACTTAGGTACAGAGCAGTTTAGTGGGGTGGTATTGTCACTGTCCTGAAATGAAAGAAATGATTGAGTCCAAAAAGGCAGGGTGGATAAGAGGCAACTCACTCAATTATGGATGTCCAGCAGTTTGTGTAAATCTAAGGAAGCTGCTTAGATTCTTGACAGCTTCAGAGAGCAGTTCATCTTGTTCTTGAACAGAATCACCCATTACAGATGCCTCTGCATTTACTGTGGAGGTTGCTCAGAATACTTAGCTTCAACTTAAGGCATTTAAATTCAGGATATCTTAAGTTAGATGAGAGAAATCTAAGTGTCTGGTCATGACGATGATCGGCAAAGGTACCACTGGCCCGTCAATGGTGGAGCCAGTCCTGAAGTCAACCTCGGTTTGTTATCTCCTTGATTTATCATAGACTGAGTGCTCCCCGTGTCTTCCTGGCCATTACTGTGATGCTGCTGGCCTTCCAGCCCCTACTGGACAATGCGAAGAGGGATTCTACTGCACACTGGGATCATTTCTTCCCAAAATCCCAGTTGCAGACAAGACTGGAGGCCCCTGTCCCACAGGTAGGCTATTACAGACACTTACCAAACCTCATCATTTGCTGAATGATGTTTAAAACTCCCAGCAGACTTCAGGCAGCTCTAAGACATTTTGGCTTTTGAAATTTGTTAGTGCCTTGGGGAGCTGCAGCGTGGTCTATTTTAGGATGCGTGGAAGTGTCAAACAAAATTGTCATCCTGCCCTGACCCCTGGAAATACTGCTCGTTCTGATCTGTTCTTTCTCTTTCAGGGTATTTCTGTCCCAAGGGTGCAGCTATTCCGGTGCCTTGTCCAGCAGGGTCATACAACCCGTCACAAAGGCAGGCCAGCTGTCTCCCCTGTGCTCAAGGGTAAGCCTGAGACCGTGGGCTTCGTGTTGTGTGCGTTCAGGACTGCTGGAAGTGCTGGTTCTGGTTGCAGCAGCTGCGTAGCCCTAGTGAAGGGGAAAGGGGTCTCGTGTGTCACCTGACGCTTAGTCTGGCTTTCCCTTAGGGGGTTCATCTCCAATTACTAGCCAGAGTTGGTCTTCATTAACTTCTGTGAGTTGATGAGTCACAGTGTGGATATGTTATGACACAAGTTGAGGAAAATTATGTCTCTGTGGCTTTTGCAATTACGCCATCAATTTGGCATATGAGGAAACAGCTAAGAGAATGTACTAATACACATAGGTAAATATGTTTTGTGGTCAATAGAGAACAGTGCAGTAGCCCCCTTAAACTAGCCATTCCTACCATTGAGTCATCGTTGTTCAAGTATTCATGGACAGAACATTGCTAGGAGATCTCAGATTGCTTTTATCCCTAATTTATTCTCTCTATGGACTAGGTTCTTCTGCCCAGAAAATTCCTCTTCTTTTTTGGAGAATGAATGTTCAGCTGGCCACTACTGTCCTACTGGTACTGCTTCTGCAACTCAGTTTCCATGTCCTAAAGGGACTTACAATCCACAGACCAGAAGCAGCCTGATGTCTAACTGCATCCCTTGTGATCCAGGTAAGCAGCAAATAAATATATCTTAGGGTGATGGCAGGACAACTCATGAAAATGACTTTTGAATGGTTTTGCGCTTCAGTGGTGAAGTTTGCCCTGCTGAGAAGGTAAGAAGAAACTGCTCTAGAGTTCATTAAATCTGTTGTCAGCAGAAACCTGTTGGTTGTTTTTTGTCCTGAATCGTGGCAATGGATATCCTTTTACTCATCACTGTCAATGATTGACTCCTCCATTGACCTTTTGTGGCAGTCTTCTCACTGGTTTTGCTTTTCCGTCCGTTATAGGCATGTATTGCTCAGCACCAGGTCTCTCGCAGCCTTCTGGATTCTGTCGTTCAGGTTATCATTGCACCGAGGGAGCCATCAGCCCAGCCCCCTTCAGACACAGGGTGAGTGGTCTGGGGACAAGGACTGAACCTGTTGCAGCATCATAGCTTGTAGTGTTACTGTTCCGTGTATCTCGGCTATGTTGCTTCTGCCCATTACTACTGCTCTTCACCTGTCTGATTGCTGAGGAATCCTGTGCAGTCTCCATTCCGGGAGCTTGCCCTGGAGCGTCTTGGCTCCCACAGCTTCCAAAGGCTGCCTGTGCCACTGCAGCCAGTGTTGCCAGTGCCCTCTTTGTGCCCGTGGTGGGCTTCAGTTAGTCTCAGTGGCAGCAGTGGAGGTTTTAGCCCTTTCTATCACCTCTTAGTAGTAGGTCCCAAATGCTGTTTCCGTAACAAATTTTCTCTCCATTTATTTTTCTTGCACAGGTGGAGTCTGCTGTCCTTGGTCTGCCTGGGAATGATATTTGTCCTGCAGGGCATTTCTGCCCCACCGGTACAGGGTATCCCATCCCCTGTCCTCCTGGATCCTTCTCTGCTTCCCTGGGCCTGGAGGCAGAGGAGCAGTGCCAGCTGTGCCCAGCTGGGCGCTACTGCAGCGAGGCAGGACTGGCCAGTCTGGCGCAGACGTCGCCGTGTAACGCTGGGTACGGCGAGACGGCCGCTCGCCTCTTCTTCCTGGGAAAATGCAGCTGCCTGGTCCTTTATAGGAGTATAGCAGAGCTGTTCAGGCTCTAAAATACACTTAACCTCAATATCTCGGGCCTCCTGCCTTGTGTGCAAATACTTACACACAAGATAAACTGCCCAGACTTTGTTCCCACCCCTTGAGGTCACCTGTAGAGTGTCCACTTGCTGCTCTCCATGGACAATTCAGAATCATTCCTTTTATCCCTGTGTTTGCCTCATTCTTTCTCAGCCTTATACATATATTCTTCTGTTGTTTTCTGCATAGGTTTAGTTCATTATTAATTATTTGATCTGTAATCACACTTGCTGAGAGTGTAACTGGGTATCTTTTTTCTTTTCTGTGTTTTATCTCTTCTCCCACGAGGTGGTGCAAAAGCAAATGACAAGGGAGTATATCAGGCCTGCATGATGCAAACAGACAAGTGCTCTTAGTTATATTTGCCCAGCTCGTGTGTATGCCTAGCAGCAAGAGGCTCCAGAAGTTCATTTTATTTCGTCTGTCAAAGAGAAGCTTAGAGGTGATTCCATTGTAGTGTAAAAAGGCCT